TAAACAAAATATTGGTCGGTATTTTGCTGTAGTTTGTTTTGTTTTCGGTAGTGTTGGTCTCATATTAAACGTTATTATTCTCACTCGACGATCATTACGTTCAAATCCTTGTTCAATATACTTTTTAGCATCAACGTTTGCCGATTTATTCATTGTTTTTATCAGTATTCCTATAAGGTTTCTATCAGCTGGTTTTAATATTGATGCAGGATTATTGTCATTAGCGAGTTGTCGTATTGAGTATTACACATTTTGGTTATCCCGTGCATTATCATCATGGTATATTGCATTAGCCAGTATTGATCGTTATCTAAGTAGTTCAATCAGCGCCCAAATTCGCCAATGGAGTAGTAAGCAGACTGCTTATCGTATGGTTGCTATTGTTACCACCGTAATCTCTTTTGCATATGTTCATGTGCTTATTAAATTTACAATTAACGTAAACAAAGACAAATATGGCAATGTTACATCGTTGTTATGTAGTGGAGAAAACGGTTTCTATCGCACATTTGCTGCATTTTTTCATTTAACATGTTACACTATAATGCCCCCATTACTTAGCTGGTGCAATATTCCGAAGAGAACTTAAAAGGCTATTCTTTAAACTCGTACATCGCTGTTTCAAGATGGAACATCATGGAAGTGGGTCAACAACGTTACAGACACCAATAATAAGAACAACAAAATTTTGATCAAAACTAATTGTTCGACTCCCGCCAAAAATATAACTTTTTTCTCTATCCTCGAGAACACTGCACCCGTTGATATCTCTCTTAAAGCTTGGTGAACTACTCATAAAGTTAGCATCTCCTTCTACTCACAATTGTACTGATTTTTTCAACATTTGTTCTATTAAATTAAATAAAGTTTATAAGAACCAGAGATTATAAGCATGAGTAGTCTGGAGAAGGCAAAAAAGAGAAAGAACTTTTTGGACTTAAGTTTGACTTAAGTCAATATTTTAACTTAAGCTTTTTTATAAAACTGGCTCCTGGAATGTATTCTCTAGTGAATGTATTCAAGTGTTAGTACTCAAAGTTGTACTTTGCTGAAAAATGTTTCGAGTACTCATGACTACTCACACATTTTCTTACTCATTGAGTACTCACATTAGTACTCATGAGTGAGTAACGAGTATTGTGGGTACGACTTTGAGTATCCATGCTTGGGTATTGTTGAGTACTCATATAACGTTTGACGAATTTTGTGTTTTCGAAAGTTACTGAGATTTTCACCAAAAACTGAAAATCACCGGAAAGTTTCAAATCATATATCATTCGGCTCAGTGTTTCACGCTGACTCTGAATGTGATACTTTTATTGCATAAAAAATGAGTTCTAATGTAGAAAATTGAGAATTACGGGCAGAATTCCGATTTTTTCGCTCCTGATTTAGCAGAAGTGAAATTTCTCAGCAATGGAGAGGAATTTCAACGAGTTATACTTTTGTAGTTCGAATAAAGACCGCTCGAATGGCGCAAGAATGAACGTTCTATCTTTTACCAAAAAAGAACTAGATAGCTTTTTCCAATGAGGTCTCCGCTTTGGAGATATCCTTGAAGATGAATTTTTCGTGCAATGACATTACATATGGAAAGCATAAAAGGCACATTTTCTAATTCCATTTTCAACGCTGAATTAGAGAAAAGCTGTTTGAGAGTTTCAAAATAAAAAGGAGAAAACGTATTCAACCTTTTTCGAAACGGGAAAGTTTTTCGGCTTTTAAGACCCTTGTCGTATTTTCAATTTCTCGACGCGCAAACGTGCGAAGGCTAAAAAGGCGATATTGGTGATCAGCTTCAAATTCTCTATCGAATCATATATAAAGAAGCTAAAAATAAAATAGTACTTGATTTTTGAACTACGCGCGCCTTACATACCTTACATAAGAATGTTATAAGTATCTTACGTATTCTTATACGAATCTTATGAAAATCTTCTATAAGAATCTTATCGAATATTTTACGCATTTTCATCAACTGTCTTATTAAGAAATACATTAGATTATATAACGTTATCTGTAAATTAATGTGATCAACCAAAACGTAAAATGCGTGTGCTTTCAAGGATTACAACTGCCTCGGTGGCAAACGTCACAAAATATGCCAAAAAAGGACTTTTTCTGGGGTTTCATACTTGCTGTAGAATGGTCAAAAAGTAAAGAAATATCAACTTTTATTTTATATTTATATTTTATTTTTTTTTATAATTTCGGTCGGGGCCAACACCTTGAGAACCATATAACTCAAATTCAAAGAGGACTGAGTTTGTTTTTCCTCCATTAGATAGAACTCGCACTGAGCTACATTTCGGCTATAGACAAGTTGATATTTCCTTACTTGTTGACCATTCTACATTTATCAGAAAAATTTAATTATAAAAACTAATTAAAATTTTAATTTGATAAATAATCTGGCCGTTCTATTTTATCAGAAAAGAGATGTGCATATTTCCGAACTACTATTGTATCCTTAGATCTCCAAGAGCGAATCTCTCTTTGACAATTTTTCAAATTGTGCTCTTCCCAGCATGAGAAATCTTTAACGAAGTGTTGTTCATGTTGAATGATTTGTAATACGTTTTTCTTCTACATCTCAAAGCACAGAACAGTACAAGTCCGTACCTACTGCTGTTTAACACATGTATATATAAATGAAGAATCGTAGAAATTAAAATCTATTCGAAAAGTGAGCTCATCGGCGTCGATTTTAACGAACTCAAATTCTTAGTCTATATTATTCCACTGCTAAACGTTCTCACAATCTAATTTAAGTAATGTGTGTCATTATTTAGAATGGTCTGTAGTCTTATGTTGTATTATATGCAATTACACGAAAAAGCATTTTTTGTAATACATATGACTGTCAAGTGAGTTTTCAATACATAAACGAGAATCTAAAGTCAGAGTCAATCAGTAGTTCTTTTAAATTGACTTCTACATCATACTCTTCCTGCTACACTGTAATGTCTGGAATTATTTATAGAACATCCTCGGTGATTTCAAAAAGTCCATATATAAATTCCTTGAGGATTTTCTAGATTCGGGAAAACCGAATTTACAAGAAACTTGGAAATTCGACCTCAATTTTCATGCATTCTTGAAATTCGAGGTCGAATTTCTAGAATTATGGAAAATGCTCAACGATTTTCAATCTGGGAAGTTCCTCGGCGATTTTATATATGAAGTTTTGGAAATTCGAAAAATAGAATTAATTTCTAGTTATCTGGAAAATCGCCGAGGAATTTCCAGATTACTGTTTTTTGTGTAGCAATGAAGCTACGCTGCAAAAACCAAATTAAAATTTTAGACGTGTTATAATACGTTGATTAAAAGCGCGTTTATAGATTAAAATAACACCGCTGGAAAGCATCGAAAAATCATAAAATATGTCTTTTACGCGTTAATGTTTTCTGCATCGACAAAACGTTTTACAACGCGTTCACAATTCGTCTAGAAAATTTTCAAAACTTTCGCAACATTGTGATACGTGTGCGGATGCAGAAATGACGTTTTAACAAACTTTGACCCATAAAGACATATTTTTATTCATCTGGACACGCGTTCCGGTGGTGTTATTTTACTTCTTAGACGCGTTTTTGATCTCGAAAGGTAATGTTAAGAAAAAGTAACGTTAGTTAAACCCAAACATGCGTTATGAGAATTTAATGTATGTTTAATGTCTTCGGCTTGTCCAAGCATGACGCTGTGACATTTTTTACACAGTAATTTGAGCTTTTCTCAAAACGTTTAAGAGTTAAAAACTTCGTGCTTGTGCCATTCGACGCAGCTCGCCATACTCTACTTTTGTCATAAAAATGAAGGTATGTGATTGAAGACTCAAATTTTTAGAACTGTTTTTCGGCGATTGACGCTGTGACAAAAAAAGGCCGTAAATTCGAAGTTTTTCTCATTAACAGCTAATTTGCTGCGAATTTAGAAGAGCTAGTAAAAAGTGCCTCGAGCAAAGTTTGCAGAATAAACGAGCTACTGATTGCTAAAACAGAATCTTTCCAATGAGTTTTGCATCCCTCAATAATTGTGTTTTATCGTCGTGACGCTGTGGCACACTTTTTTCCCAACAAACTTTGAAGCACTACACATTGCTCAACGGATTTCATTTTCACATCGGACTTAGGTTTAGGCATCTAATATAGACTAACGTGACAATGAAGCTGAAAAAGTGTGTTCACTTTCTCAGAATTGTGTGAGAATCTTAAAACTTAAAACTTTATTAAAAAGCTTGTTTTGAGTCTAAAGTTCAAAAGAAACATACATCTTGTAGAGAATCGAATTCTCTATCGATTAGTGCGCCCCTCCATTTTCATTAGTAAAAGTGTCTAGGTGAGGAAATTGAAAATACAGTTTTCAAAAAATGTAAAACTGGATTTTTGATGCTAAAATTTAACTTTTTTGAAAAAATAATGTGCGATTCCTAATCAGCACCAAAAAACTGCATCTAGTGATATGCTCCTTTCAGTTCTACTCTAAAATAATTCTTTCAAAAACTTGATCCACGAAGTGTCCAGTTATGCGGACAAGCCGTGATCGTTTTTCTAGAATATTAAAAAATCAAACTCGAATTTTCAGTATGTAGAAAATTGTCGCTGAATTTTCATATTTTTGGAAATTCTATGCTGATTTTCTGAATGAAATTAAAAGTCAATTTATAGAAAATCGAAGATCACGAATTTCTAAAAAGCCAGAAAATCTATGAGCATTTTATATATATCAGAAAAAGTTCTACGATTTTCCATATCGATTTTTTATAAAATGAAAATTAATTCCAAATTTACAGTGTATACTTTAGTATAAGCACAAATTATTATATACTTCTTATTCTACACAAATCAATTTCTGTGTGTAACACATTGTAGATATATCATCTTCATATCTTTGGAAAGTGAACTCAATTTGTTTGAACTAGAATTGTTCGAATATGTCAGACAGTGAAAATCTGAAATTAAATTTAACTATAATAGCAACACAACTAACACGCTATTTATCCATATTTATACTTGTATGTGGAACAATTGGTAACGTATTAAATCTAATTGTACTTCTTCAACGTTCATTACGTTCAAATCCATGTTCAATTTACTTTATCTCGTCATCCATATCAAGTTTAGTAGCACTTTACTCTGGACTTATAACACGTATATTAGACACTTATGGCTTAGATCCAACAAGGAATTCCTCTATACAGTGTAAAATACGAAGTTTTTTACTATTTTGGTCATTTACAATATCAACATGGTTAATTGCACTGGCATCAGTTGATCGTTATTTAATTAGTTGTCAAAATGTTCAACGTCGACGTTTAAGTAGTTTAAAAATTGCTTATTATCTTATTGCAATTGTAATAGTTTTCTCAATACTAATTTATGCTGAAATATTTTATTGTAATGACGCAAATCTTCTTACTCCACCCTTACCATGCTATACTAAAAATTATCCATGTCGATTATATAATGATTTCACATTTGCTCTTATATTTGTAGTAATACCTTGTTTATTAATGTGCATATTTGGTTATTTAACAATATTAAATATTAGAAAATTACATCGATCTGTTGTACCTACTTCTGGTATTCGAACTAAAAACTCTAAAGATACACGAAACATTAAAAAATCTGATAGACAATTAATACAAATGCTGTTAATACAAGTTCTTTTATTAACAATGTTTACATTACCAATAGCAATTCAACGTTTGTATGCAACATTAACAATAAATACAGTTAAAAGTCAGTTATCATTAACAATTGAAAATTTCTTATTTCAGTTGTTACTTTCATTTACGTTTATCAGTATGAGTATACCATTTTATGTGTATTTATTAACTGGTACAATATTTAGACAAAGACTTATTGCTCTGTTTCATAACTTAGTTGCAGTACATCGTGTACAATTAGAAACAAGTACAATTTACAATAATAACTAATAGACAAAATACTGTTGAACAGAATAAACAATTCATTGTTTTCATTCATCACAAGTTTACGGAACGAGAGAACAATATTCTGGTATTTAATGCTGAACTACTTTTTAAAACTTCAATTCATGGAAGGTTTTATAATATACGTAGTGGACAGATTTCTTTTAGCTGGAACAGGTGGAGAAATCGATAAAGATAAATTTTCTTATGTATACGAGAGAGAGAAATTTGGACGGCTACGTCTTAAAAGAGATACAAATCCATATTTTAGAATGTATCGGTTTTAATCAATTAAAAAGTATCTCTTTTGAGAAAACGAATATTTTGGCAAGAAATTACGTTCACTGCCTTCGATAACAGAATAGTAGCGAATATTCTTAGAAGTATCTACTACATACAAAGAAGGGAAGAGAACAGAAAAGAAAAGAAAAATGAACATGTATATATACGCTGTGTGTTTTCATCTAAATGTAGCTGACGATGATTACAGTTGTAATTGAAAGCTTCTGTTTTAAATAAAAATTTTAAAACTATGATTGTTGAATTAATACAATTAATCTTATCGTAATTTTAATCTTCGCTGTCTTCATCCTGATCAGTTCTAATAAGCACGAGTTTTCTTAAACACGTCCAAATAATTGTTTTTATTTATACGTTGACATCGAAAAAGATTTTTTTCGAACAATATGGCAGAAGCACCTTTTTAACTTCGCTTTCGTACAAAATCCATGATAGTTTTTTGAAGAGTGAGACAACATTGCTTTGAGCAGTATAATTGTATCTCTTTCGAGAAACGCAATTTCTTGTCAAAATATTCGTTTTCTCAAAAGAGATACTTTTTAATGGGTTAAAACCGATACATTCTAAAATATGGATTTCTATCTCTTTTGAGAAGCTACGCACTGGACTAACGAGGAAACCTCTCGAGGTTATAAATCGCTTTTTTTTATTGAAATCTAGTGGGTTATAGGTTATCCACCATACTTCCGAATATGACCATGGAAGTTTCCCACAGCACTTGGAAGATCCAGGTTTATAGAAAACCAGTTTGCCAGAAACTCTAAAGAATAACCAAAACCTTTCTTAAGGAGACATTGTTGTAGCCCGCAAAATTCTGATTAAAATGAGACATCTCCCAGTTCTACACGACCTTTCTTTGCAAAGTCATAGAATTTATCAACAAAAGCCCTAAATGCTCAGAAAAAAGAAGAAATTAATTTAGGGCTTTTCTCATAAATTCTATCACTTTCCAAAGAAACGTCGCGTAGAGGTGAGAGATGTCTCATTTTGATCAGAACTTCGTGGGCTACAATCATGACTTATTAAGAGAAAGTGACAATAAAAAGCCCTAAATTAATTTATTGTTATTTGTGTAGCTTTGAAGATTTAGGACTTTTCTTGTAAATTTTATAACTTTGCAAAGAAAGGTCGTGTAGAACTGGGAGATGTCTCATTTTAATCAGAAATTTGCCGACTACACTTATGTCTCATTAAGAAGGGTTCTGGTTATCTTTTAGAGTTGTTGAAAAATTGGTTTTCCAGAACACCGGAGCTTTGAACACCATGGGCGGCTCCCATAATCATATTCGAAATCAGCGTGGTCGATAACCTATAACCCACTAAATTTCGATCAAAAAGCGATTTATAACCGCGAGAGGTTCCGCTGTAAGTTATATATATTGAAAGGATCAAACCAATAAGTCACAGTATTTCGTGTTCAAACCTTAGTGAAATAGTGAGCTTGGTAGGACAATACATAGATTCTCATTCAGACACTAATCAGAGGAAAGAAATACAAGGGATTAGGCGATTATCATTAAAAAACTTCCATTAAAGCGTGTTTTTTTTCAATGAAAGTACCGGAACTTTTATTAAAAAATGTTTAGCATGAGTTTCATTAAAATGATTTTGCTGGCACAGGAACTTCATTAAAAATTTTAATGAAAGTCCAGGGACACCGAACATACCGGAAGTTTCATTAAAAGTTTTCTTGAAATTCCTCTACCATCAAAATCATTTTAATGAAACTCCTGCTAAACATTGGTTAATGAAAGTTCCGGTACTTTCATTGAAAAAACACGCTTTAATGGAAGTTTTTTAATGAAACTCTGATATCCCCATACAAGAGGTCCTGATCTTGATACATTATTGTATAATAGAATAAGCGACGAGTGAGAGAATGAGATAGATATAGGTAAAAGTGTAAGCTTCTTGCCAATGAAACCCCGCTGACACCCTGTTTTCACATACACTATTTGCTTGTGACTCATCTCCATTCAGTGTCTGTGCTTTCTGGCACATCTAAAATATCTCGTTTTTGTTTATTCAGTGCAAAGAATCTTCTGTGTCCGTATTTAACAATTGACAGACATCTGAAATAAGCAAGAAAAACAAATGTAGATAAAAGACTAGAAATTGAACGATTTTAGTGAATCATAGATTATTTGCTGGTTTGTCTATGCAATGGGCGACGCACAGAAAGTGGAACACTAACATACTGCATAAAGCATTAACACCCCTAGACGCATTTCTGTCTATTTCCTACCAGAATCTATCTAATAATTTTCTAGCAAGATCCTAGACTGCTAGGCTCTGGCTAGGATTTCGCTTGAGTTTGTTTAGGATGCTAAGAAAATCTTAGAAAATCCTGTGACTTTTGGGTATAACCGATTTCATTAGGATTCTGTAGGAGTTGGTTAGGATCTTAAGAAATTAAAGCGAAATCCTAGTAGGATATTCGTCTCGGATACCGTCAGGAAACTCATAGGGATTTTACTAGGGTCTTTGCGTATTAACGAACGAAAAATGTAAAATTCGGAATTAGCATCTGAAATTGCATGTATCCATATGTGTTTCAACGATAAAGCGCAGAGATAAACCTATAGAAATTGTTCCCGTGACAATCCTGATCACGGGAGACTCTGCAAATTCTAACGTTTTTTTTACATAGCTCCACATGGTAGCGTCTATCCGGAGTTAATACGACACACTAAAACTTCTTGCCTACAAATGTGCAGAATCAGTAAATCGCACAAAATAGCCACTACCAACGAGAAGCAAAAGTCGTTGTAAAAAATATTCTAAAAAAACAACAGTGGTATTAAATTACGTAGAACTTTTTATACGAGTAAGCCCATGTCGTTTATTTCTCAAAAAAACTGCGGTTCACCGTCGGTTTTTAAAATATCCTCGGTTAACCGATTCAGTCAACCGATCATCAGTTGTCAGATTTATTATCTGTCTTATCGGTATTATCCATATCTTTAAAAATATAGAGGGATGATTTACCAGCGGGCATATAACAAACGGATGCTTAAAATTACTTAATTAATTGTTATTCTTTATTTCTAACATTACAATTAATTCTATCAGATTAATCAAAAGAATTCTATTACGTATTTTTATTCAGATCCGCTCACCATTACGGCTTGTCCAGCTACCGATCCCCTTTTTGCGCTCTTTTACAAAAAATTATTGCAATAAAGCTAGAAACTAATCTAAAATTGCAACTGGATAATTAAGTAGAGTAAACGTTTCTCTATAAAATGACAAGTGTGTCGGCTCTGAGCGTTGATTCGCTATGAAAATACAGCTGTTGCACAAACAACACAAAACATTGATTTTGGGTCTATCGGAAAAACGTGCCAAAGACAAGCAACAGAAAATTGAACAAGTGTACTAGTTTGCAGAAAATTGTTTGCTCTGCAAGATATGATAGCTTGTCAAGCTCAAAACTAGTTTGATTAATCTGTATTAATCCTAGAAAAATCAGAGAAATCGTGACGCTTTTAACCGTTTTGTGTCACAGCGTCACAGTTTTTGTGATTTTTCTAGGATTAATACAGATTAATCAAAATAGTTTCGAACTTGACAAGCTATCATATCTTGTAGAGCAAACAATTTTCTGCAAACTCGTATACTTGTTCAATTTTCGGTTGCTTGTCTTTACTCTTTTAGACACGTTTTTCAGATAGCCCCAAAATCGATGTTTTGGGCTGTTTGTAAACAGCTGTATTCTCATAGCGAATCAGCGCTCAGAGCCAAGACACTTTTCATTTTAGAAAAAGAGCGAAAGAAGGGGACCGTTAGCTGGATAAGCCGATTACATAACATAAAAGTCGTAAAAATATCGATATTCCTGTTATGTAGAGCATAGAAAATTACATCGAAGCCACAATTCCCATGTGCAAAAGTCTTGTCTGACATGCGTTTTGACTCTCCCTCTAATAAAGCAATTTTCAACTTGTTTTTCTCTGCCGTTACACACACACAGCCGTTACGGAAGAGCAGTGTCATTAGTATAAGTGTTGGTATTAAAAACCTTGTCCTACTACACTCAGAGATACGGCAGCTGTCACAAAATGACTGAAAGGAACAACATTCAGTATTTTACTCCTTCTGAACGCAAAACAGAAC